AATGCGTAAGTTCCAAACTTTCCTTCCCTCTCGTCGTCACCACCAAATAAAATCACTGATATAAAAAAAAACTGTAGAATTAGGATTTACCTCACATCTTTGGTCTTCTTTGCAATTGATTACACCGATTTGCATTTGTGAGAGTCAGATACGCGTATTTTCTATCTTAAGCGCTCCCCCGCTTGCTCATCCGAGATAGATAGAAATTAAAAGAAATAAAGCAAGTTAATGATGTTATTGCCGACAGAGGTACAAACACTGCTTGACATTTTCATTCAGATCATTAAATGGCTTAAAATGGATAGCAATGAACGGCCAGGTTTGATAATGGCATATGTAACGGAGCCTGACCGTACTGGTCACAAGCATAAGGGCCCAAAGGTACAACCTAATGCTTATATATTCATTATTTAATAAATCGCCACTGCAATAGTAGTTAGCAAAGAGATGAAATCTATGAACTTGGTGATTTACAGTTGGAAAGAGCATTAATTGAAGTCGACAATGCACTCAGCCAATTTTTGAAAATGTTGGAAAAGGAAGGATTATGGTGTTGCGTCAATCTGGTCATTGTCTCAGATCACGGTTTTACTTTTACGATTTTACACTAGCAGAGAAGAAACAGCAAGATTATCCCGACATTATAGGAATGGCTCAAATAGATACACAGGTAGTTCTCAAGAAGCGGTTAAACATTACTGGAATGTATATAGTACCTGGTCTAACGGCACATATCTTTAAGGAAAACTCAAGTAAGTGGTGTAATTATGAGAATCAATCATACAACAAGTGTTCTCTTGTCTTTGAACTTCGTATAGTATTCTTTTCAGTAATTATTGTATACTCTTACTGCTGATTGTCGCCTTCTTAAGAAATTTGAGTGCAAACTTTTGTAACATAAAGATCGCTTCCCTGAAGTAAAGGCTTCTCCTATTCAAATCTTAGGCCGAAGTCAGCGAGTCATAACCCAATCCTGAAAAAAAAAGACGACAAGTCAAAGCATAAAAACTTTGAAATACTATCAATGAAGTCTGATTTGCACACAATAAATGCTGACATCACTAGAGCAAAATACATGATCTTTTAAGCGTAGTTCATTCTTCTGCTTTCATTTATCGGATCAAAATTAGTCCTTCCTTCCTGATTGGTAAGGTGTGAAGGTGATTCATACTCAGAATGAAAATATAGCCTAACAACAAACTGCTCTGCTTGACTTCTATCTATACACTGTACAGTGTACCTTTTCTTGATAGAAGTGGCGCGACTTAAAATCTCATACCTGACCTGTTATCTCTGAATGATTTCTCTAAAATTCAAATTTGATTTGTCACCAAACTGACTCTTGAAGCAGTTTCGATCTAGTCGAATCATTGGGAAAAGTGTGATCATAAATTACGGAATTAGAGTGTCTTCTTTGCATAAAATCTCATGATACATTTAAGAAAGGACGGTGCCATATGAGCTTTAAAAAAGATGATGCTAGTTTCCCTACGAACACTGCAAAATTTGTTTTATTGTGGGAAGGGAAGAAATCTCATATGACAAGATCACTGTCCAATCCTGAAGGCACTGATACATCGTGAAAACCTCTTTTCAGCTATGACCATCGAAGAAATTGAAAGTGCTTTGACGCGTAAAGAGGAGGAAGGCAAGAAAGATCTCATTCGTGTATTCACGAACAAAACTATGCCTTTGCGCTATTACTATTCTCATTCAAGAAGAATTGGTGATTTAGTACTTGTCTCACAACCACACGTTCAAGTAGTAATGTAAGTATTGCCCTTCCAATAAGAATTTTTTAGAAAACGATAAAGTCTCAATCTCAATTCAAATGCTACCCGGGTATTACGCCCTTGTAGTAGGGTTTCGCTTGATAAGCAATATATAACAGCCTTTAAAAACATAGATAGTATACAAAATTTAATGACTTGTGTCGCCGAAAGATCAAAAGACTAACTTCACGCTGAATTTGATGGATCTGGCTCTAAACAAGGAATTGAAACGTGACTAACTTCAAAACAGAGTCGTGTCCAGAGCTGCTTTATGAAGCTCAAGGCGAAACTAAAAAGGTTGGACAACCATCATCTTTGATGGGGACTTTGGAACCACAAGATAGCAATAAATTTAAACCCCATCAAATCGATAATTATTTGGATTTTGTCCTTACTCAAATAAAGTTTAAAGAATAGTAGTATATCCTCATCGCGAAGACAGAAAACCTTGAACTGGCTTGAGGATATGCTGTCGCACTAAGTTATGAACCTGTTTCATTTATTTAAAACAAAGGAATACGAACGGTGAGCAATTGCGCTAATTTCAACAGTCAATATTAATATTTAGCAACCTTTCTTTAAATTCTTTCGGTGATTCCTCAGCTTCCGCTCACTCATCCTCGAAACATATTCAATGAATTGTTTGCGTACCTTTGCGTTGACGTAAAGGAGATGAAGATCTTTCGCGAGTCGGGGGAATGAGATTGCGCCTCTTTGCGGTTTTTCTCGACTTCATCTATTATATGACAGCCGCTAAAAGCTAGAATGATTATTGATTAAGAGGGTAAAATCACGGTTAGGCTGAAGCCTTAACGTTAGCCTTAGCCTTCTATGCAAACTTTCGAGAAAGCCCTCCCATTTTTTGTACTTTGCATTTGCCTTCACTCCGCCCATTCATTCAGAAAGGATATCCTCGGATTTTCTTCTTCCGAAGATGTTAGCAGGCAATAATTTTCTATGCGAAAGAAAAGCCTAGAACCAGTAAAAAATACTTCATTTGTGCCTTGCGACGAAAGACAAACACCGCTGAATTTTTTAAGTATTCATATATCATAAGCGATATTACAAATCGGGCCTCAAAGACGCGTGGCTTTTCCATAACCTCATACAGACGTCCTTTTGTCTAGGT